AGTGCCTGGAAAAAGACTAACAGAAGGGAACACAACAGCTACATACCGAACAAGTGAGTGCTTGCGAGTGCGAGAGCAAAAGTTACAACGGCCCCAAGCTATTTAAAGGGAACTTTCTGACATTAATCCAGGCTGTATGATAGGCTTTTCGTAAACACTCATCAACATCGGCCGTGCCTCTATCAAGTGCCAGAACATTGATCACTTCTGTCGTGCATTGATCACATTCTGTCGTGCTTCTGTGGCGTGCCTGCCTGAACACTCATCGGCTTTTGCTGAATCGATTAAATGATTGACTGGCCCAGATGCTTGCCGGCCATCCTGTTGAGATTTTGGTGGAGTACTAGGTTCCGGGCGTTCTGAGGTTACGCACAAGTACGCTCCCCACAAACGCACTGAATGCGCTGCACCGGGTCGCCTCATGTCTCACTCGCTACGATATTCGAGGTATCGCGATACATATATATCTTTGTAATGTACTACTCATAAGGTTTCTGAAAATCCGTCAACAGCCCACGACCGATTTCGCCCTATTTGGAGCTCATCAGGTGGGCGCAATCCCCGGGTTTCCGTCAACATTATGATCTAATTGAACCCAAATTGGACTGTTTAGTAGTTGTATTTTTGCTGGATATTGGTTTGGTCATCACTTAATGGCCAAGTGATTCTCGGGTTACCGATTGAAAACCGCAAATCGGGATCGTTCACTTCTAAAGCCCAGCTTTTGACTTTACAAACGGGTTGAATGACACTTTTATCCGCGTAAACCAACATCTGCTCATGTGCAGTGATTTGTCTCGCTTTACTTTGTTGTCATACTGGTTCAAAGGCTCGTTTATCCACGTGGGGGCTGATCACCTGAGTGCATGAACTGAGCCCAGACTCAGACTCGGTAGGCATCCCTCCGTCATAAGTGAGTTTGGCCGGCCATTTGTTTGCACTTATGAGCTTAGCTCAAAGTTCTAAACTGACGGCGGTTGCTAAAAAGTGTCATCCTTTTCAGATTCCTATAAAAAATGCAAGAAGATCCCAAATTCGCTTACTCGCGAAATGCGAGGCGCATGCAAAACTGAAGTCCAGAGGGACGAAGAAAGGAACTAAAACAGGCGGGGCATTACACACTGGGGGACAAACTGTCACATGCAGCGTTCAGGAATCCTACGTCATCTGCTATCCCTGAGATCCTCAGTCAACTGAGTTTAGGAATCACATATTTCCTACTCACAAATTCTTCCACGTATGTGCAAACTGGTGCTGTGTAAGGTCGACCCTGGCGAGTATTTTCACCTGTTTTTTCGTCAGAAATCTGCAGCAAACGACACCGGAACACAACGGTGTATGGAAACATGACTCATTTTCAGCAGCCTGCTGAAAGAGACAAATAAAACAGTGGCGATTAGGCAACTATATAATGTTTTGAGAACGAAAAAGGTAGCTTGTTTTCTGTGATTGTTCTTCTTGACTGATAAGTCACAAATTTATATGGTAGCATAAATCACGTGGAAAAAGTTAAGATCGAGGCTAAATGCACTTTAGAGAAATAAAAATCAGAGGAAGGGGGGCTGGATGAGGGATAGGTCCAGGGGTCACGGAATCAGGTAAGTGACGTCAATGTCAGACAGCCTTGTGGGACCGGATGTTTCGTAGGCCAGTTCAAGTCCAGAGGTCACAGAAGTTTCTTTTGGATGCAAAGTTGTGGAGTCCGCAGTCGGATTCCAATCGCTTCTGAGATCGATAGTAATCTGGATCGTACATCGTGATCGGTTCAGAGGTACCCTGTATACGATGGTGAAGGCTTGCTCCTTGTCTATGACATGACTGGTTTCGACCAATCGCGCTTGAGCCTGGTTTCTTCCCACTACCACTCAGAGATACGGGATTGTGTTATCGCATTCTGTCCGACAAATGCCTTGTCGTACGACCAACGTAAAATGCTCGGCACGAGCATACAAATGAGTACACACAAAAGCTGGTGCCAGAACGTGGCAATTTGTCCTTCAAACGGAATTTGTTAGTGGGGCTGGAGTTGAAGCTCAAACATGTTTATGGATAGATTACTACAATCTATGGATGTTATAAGGATGACTGGATTGACGTGTCAGCGTTATGCCGCGTTTATGCGCTTATTCGCTAGAGAACCTGTGATAAGGATTGGGCCGATAGCATGTAAACTCTTCTCGTCACGTTCACGGACGCGCACTGACTACACATTTGAAGTAAATTCGGATGCGGTCTGATGAAGGTGCGGGGCCGCGTGTCCTACCAAACAGGTGGGTGATCGCTAATATGAAGCAACCTGTGTCGAAGTCAGAGTGCATTTGATAAAACAAACAAAAAGGTGGTGGTTACAGTCGCCTGGTCTGTGAAGTGAGCTTTTAGGCAAGCTTATTCCAGAATCTTCACGTCTCTTGTGTGCGTCGCTTGTGTCTCACTGAGCTCAACTAAGGTGAAACTTCTCGATGATGTTCATCAGTAGAGTTGTATCTCGTTCATTGTCAGTTTAGTGAGCTGTTTCGCCCCATATCGGTGACGAGAACTTGCTAGATTTATCTTCTGATCTTACCATTTTTACAAAAAACTATCCCTGTAGACGAAATCTACCAACCATGAATCATTCGCTCACAAAAGCTTCCTTGAGGTTTTCCAAGATCGTTCCACACAAGCTGGACGTTCCCATATTTATTTTTCCGCATCTAAAACGTTCTCCCCCATGTGTGGGTTTGCGTGACTGTCCACCATTCGGCATCTCAGAGACACTCGGTCAAGAAAAGAGGAAAATAATTCTGGCCTTGTTTATGCTGAGATCTCATGCAACATATGCAAATAAGCATCAGGATGAGCTGGGGAAAAAGTTTTATCCTGTCTGGACGTTAACTCCTACATTTGGTATGCAAAGTAAGGATGGACGGCGTTGTAGTCTGGCATTGATCTGTCAGCCATGGGAGACTGAGTGCAGTGGTCAGAACTGTGGGCAGCAGAGAGATATGGGTTTGGCGATCTACAACCAAGAAATGGATGTTTCCCTTTTTTTGGGTATCTGTTCCAAAAATATACAGCTGCAAGCTAACAGTACAGTAGAATATCATAAACGAGAGATCTAGTTGAGTCTCTCGTGAAAACCACAAATTGATTTGCAAATGAGTGTATTTCTCGAAAACAGTCCAATTGGCGTTCAAGTTGAACATAAGGTTGACGGAAACTCGGGGACTGCGCCTACCTGATGGGCCGTGGGCTGTCGAAGAGTTTTGAGCAACCTTGTGAGTAGTTTCCTCTATGAAAATGCACAACTTCCCTTCGAGTCGCATTTTCACGACGGCATCAAGTTAAATAGCTGGAGTGTGAAACAAGACTAGATCCAGCAGATGAACACACATAATTAGGAACAAGTGAGCACATGTTGAACACCATCCATTTTGACCACGGATTTTCGGTCTGGGATCTGAAGTTCGAGACGGATATATACTGGCCCCTGGCCACCCTTCGCCATCATATAATAACGGTTACTGTAAGCGGCTTAAAAAGCTCTCGAGGCCATCTCGTCCTGCAAGTGGAGCCATTCTATGCTGTAAAGCCAACAAGCATTGTACACCTGTGTAGACGTAGTACAGTACTGAAAGGTTGCTGAAAATTGTTCGACAGCCCATGACCGGTTTCGTCCTTCTTGAAGCTTATCGGATGGGCACAGTCCCGGAGTTTCTGTCAACTTCATGTTCTAAGTGAACCTAAATTGGACTGATTTCGATAAATGTATTCAGTTGCACATCAACTTTGTTGTGATGAGAGACTAACCTGTAACACAGCTGAATCTCTACTTTTTGGGTTCAAGTAGAACATAAAGTCGGAGACTGCGCCTACCTGATTAGCTCCAAGAAGAACGAAACCGGTCGTGAGCTGCCCAAGAGTTTTCAGCAACCTTGTGAGTAGTTTCGTCCATTGAACTATATTGCTAAATCTCGAACGTCATACCAACTGAAACATCGAGTAACCTGGTGCAGCTCATTCAGATGTTTAGGTACATCATAAACGAGAGATTCAGCTGTGTTCTGGGTGAGTCTGTCGTCGAAACCAAATTGGTAGGGAAGTGAGTGCATTGTAAACATGTTTCATCCTCACTGCGAATCTGCGGCAATGCGCATTGTACAAAACTCCAGTAAGGAGTACCGAAACAGCAACCACCCTATATTTCCAGGTGTTTTTCATCGCATCTGTGGGAATTTGACATGTAAACTGCCATCTACATTAAACCAGTCTGATGTGATTCAACCATGTATTTACCTTCCTTCCGCACGCAACCAGGGGGACTTAAAATTTGAAGACGCTTGCGCGAGTCTAACACAGAGTGAATATGTCAAGACTGTCTTTTGAAGGAGAGTTTTATCGATCAGTAGCTTCTGGACAAATGAGCGATTTGAATTCGCGACGCTTAAAAAGGAAGAAATGAGGTGACCTCTGCCTTCTAGAATAGCGATTGCCAGAGCAGCGCGTTGTGAGCAGCTGTGGTGAAAACTCGTCAGTCTGGTGTTTAAAAATTAAGCCATGTTCAGGTGGGACTGATTTCAAGGAAAAGTTAGTTTCAGACCACTGTTTGTACTTGTCTGTGCACGCAAGTGTGCACGGCTTCCTGAACACTTTCCCCGTTACCAGATTACCCCATGGTAATCTGGAATTTGAACAAGAGGTGAACTTTCCAGCTGTTTTTGAGGCTTACCATAATTGAAAAGAAGGAAGGTAGTGGAAGAAACCACCTCATCGAATTGCGTGTATGCTGAAGTTATGGGTTCCTGTTTTTCATTACAAGAAGTATTTTCTCCATTACCACTGGAAATTTTCGAGCAATTCAAGGTCACTTGATGCGGCCGTGAAAGTTTCAGCGTTGCTGAACAGTTTCTTAAGTTGATACAACTATTCAAAACCATTTTAAGATCAATTTTGCTGTGAACCATGACTGGTTTTTGAGAAAAAAGTTTACGATTTATTCTTTTCCATTCCATCCGGAACAGTTCACGGTTTGGGCACGTCCGGATGTGATACATATGGCACAATATGCTCTGGAAACTGGAAAGAAGATCATTCACTTTTTCGAAAACTATTTTGAGGTCCCTTACCCGCTGCAGAAGACAGGTAAGCTCCAGGAGTTTGTGTTGGAGTTAAAGAGTCGTCTCCAATCAGAGTTTGTTCGCATCTATGCTCATTCTGGCGGAGAACTCAATGATGGCTCGAAGTTGATATGAAGCAAGGCTCAGACTGTAGTAACGGTATTTTCCTCAGCTTAGTTTCTGGTCTGAGCCTCCCAAGCTAGCGTTCACGTCAAAACAGCCACCAAAGGTGCACAAGGTCTATTAATGCACAAAACGAAGTCAAGCACAGCTGTACAGCGCTTCGTATATATAGCGTAATCTGTTATAACTCTCTGGAAGTTCTGGCGCGTTCTGGATGCGCCATTGGCAGCCGGCATTTGGCCAATACTGAGTCATGATTGGCTGTTGGGTCCAGATTTCTGACCAATCAGATCTCGTCTTGATGCCGGACCGGCAAATGTCCCGAATTCTTGGCCAATCTCGTGCGGGTCCGGCTTATCGGCCGTAGCAGTGCCTAGAGACGTGCAGCAAAGCGGGATCCGTGTGGAATTCTGCCTAACACAGACTTCCCCTGTTGGCAGCGCATCGAAATGCGAAGCTGCGAATAAGTTATCAAGTCCTGCAAGAGTTGGGGAAAATGTCAGTGACTTTAAACACCAGAATGGCCGTAATAGATGATATGGACTTATTGCGACACCTGAAGAGTGCCTACATATGACATTAGACCCAAGTTGAAGAGATGAAACCCCGTAATTTTGCAATGACACTTCTTTCATCTTTCATCTCTTTCCCCTAAAACATCCATTTTTCTGGCTTATCAATCTAGCCCACAGCGTAGTACAAACGCTGAGCACAAGCTCATCAATCAAACACTCTCATTAAAGGTCGATTTTTGGTTCACTTTTCTACCCTTACATTACATCAGTGTTTATCGTGCAACAAAAGATAGGTGTTTTGTTTTCAACTAATAACAACGACAACATTTCATCTCATCACTTTTTCTTTATCAGGCTGATCTGTTCGGACAGTGTACCGTGAAAAATAAGTTGGAATTAGGACGCTTTATTGATCAAAAGTTGTCCAGAATCAGGAAACTGGGGACCTTAAGATCAAGATCATAGACGATGCTTGTTAGCTAAGTTGTTTAGGTTCAGGTCTGAGTACAAACAACATTTTATGTCAGAGCACCTCCACCGGGTATCGACCCGCTATTTGAAGAGACAACAAAACAGTCTGGAATATGGTAGGCTCTCCAGTAATCTTGAGAGATGTTCCAAAGAGATGTTCCTGAGCAATCCTCCACAAACAAAGTTCGGTTAAATCATGCTTTGAGTCACAGGAAGCGTGAAAGGTGTATTTTGTTTTATTTTTACTTCCAAGTCATATCCTACTTTCCTCCGAAATTCTTGCGTTTTGAACAATGGTGTTTAGTTTCTTCCAATAGGCTATACTTTACCCGATACTAAGTGAGAAAATCCCCGCTGGCAAAGACTTTTGGTTTGAAACTGTGCAATAAGAAACCCTGAACTACCACAGACTAGTGCAGTTCCGATGATGGGGAGAAATCTGGCGCAGGCCCAATTTGAGGGATACTTCATAGGATATGCGAGCTCATAGTGTAAAGTGAAGGTTGCCATTATACGAGGACAGCGGTCCGCATAACTCCAAAAGCAGCGCTGGGTTTATCCAACTGGTCTGGAACTGTTTTGTCAGACTAACTGTATCAGACACAAGCTGACGTGCTTGTGCCCGGAAGGGTTCAAATTTTTACCCTGAGAAGTTGAGGGCGTGCACATCCGATGAACAAGCGATGAGACCTGGTCGTGGAAGTCCGTTTGGTTGCCATAGAACAATGCAGGCGAACTTTTATGGTAAAGTTGCTGTAGCTTGAATATTTTATTCATAGTAGGAGCACGGTTCATCAACCGATTCATGACGCTGAGAGGACTAACACAGTGGAACCAGTAACCCGTTAAATCTGACCGAAACCGAAGTCTGAGTTACACGATAACTGAGGATTCGGCTTTATCAAGAGGGATTTTCACATAATGACGTGATTTTTGAAACGAGAGTAGTCACTATATGGGAGCGAGCTCTGCATATTTACCTAGAGTTTTTGTGCATGGTTCGGAATTTACAGTGTCTATTTCAGTTGGTCATACACTCTGGTGAAAACCGACGAGAGCTTCAAGTTTGCCTTTGCCATATGCTGAGGAAAACTTCTGTTTGTGCAGTCCACTCGCCCACCCACCCACCCACCCACCGGGATTTTAATGCGTTCAGCCAGCTGCTATATTTTTTGTCACTAAGGTCGGTAATTAGACTTAAGTAGCTATTCCTCAGGAATACACGCAGTTAGTTCCATTACGCTTTTTGTGAGTAGTGTATATTTTGCCTCTGAATTACCTCCGATTCCACTTTTTTTGTAATTTGACGCGTTCATGTTACAGTAAGCAAAGGAAATGGTAAAAGGCTATATGAGGTTTCTAATATCTACGCTACAATATACTGTATCATAATGTGACATGCTGCTCTAGTTTATACTAACTACGCTATATCTTGCTACACTATACTGCGCTGTACTGCACTATACCATTCCAAAATGTACTATGCTTGACTAAACTTTATAATATGTGGTAAGGTGCCATTTGAACCATACTAAAGCACACTATATTACTAAAGTATGCCATATCACTTCGTATCACACTGGGTTGTATCAAACCCCGTGCATACAGGTATACTGCACTGTGTACTGTACTAGTCAAAACACTCCCCAGATGAAGCAGCCGAGTTAGAATTTTCATCCTATCAGTGAATCCTGTCTGTGCCGAAAACCTGCGAATCACTCTTCAGCTGTTTCATTCCTGTTGGGGATCGATGACAGCTCACGAAACTCAGAGAGTTTGAACCCTTGACCTTCCGGCCAGTGGTCGAACACAATTGCCTGATCAGCGGTATGATTAGCCCTCAAATGGATCTAATTGGCTCTACAAGCTGTTGACCTTAAGAAATGGGGGCAACTGAAAGCTTTCTACATCAGTTTTTGAAAGTCTAGCGAGACTAATCAAGGTCACATTTGCAGAAACAGGGGTATGAAGTATTGGACATTCCGCATGAGGACCTTGGGACACATCGCTCCTCTGGAGAACGTGAAAATATGTAGTACCACCCATACTGCAGACTGCCTGTTCCTGACCCGTTTTCCCGACCTCGTCAGACTTTCACTCCCACGTTACTCACAAAGCATTTCCCTAAAAGAAGAACAGGCAATAACGAATACCCCTAAACGCTTTTCGATTAATACAGCACTGAGTAATTTCTTCCAATTTCAGATATGATCGCCGTTCCAGACTTTGCAGCGGGAGCAATGGAGAACTGGGGATTGATGATCTATCGAGAACCGACCATGCTTTGGGATCCAGAAACTGGGACCGCACACAGCCAACAAAAAGTGGCCACTGTCATATCCCATGAAATCGTTTTCCCGACTTCTTCAGACTCTCACTCCCACGTTAATCACATAGCATTTGCTTAAAAGAAGAAGAGGCAATAACGAATACCCCTAAACGCTTTTCGATTAATACAGCACTGAGTAATTTCTTCCAATTTCAGATATGATCGCCGTTCCAGACTTTGCAGCGGGAGCAATGGAGAACTGGGGATTGATGATCTATCGAGAACCGACCATGCTTTGGGATCCAGAAACTGGGACCGCACACAGCCAACAAAAAGTGGCCACTGTCATATCCCATGAAATCGCCCATCAGGTAAGCCAGCCAGAAGTGAAAGCTGTAGCGTTCATCTTTAGTACATTGAAACACCCCACTATTAACCTGTATTCTGACGTCTTTCGGTTCATTATAATCTAATCATTAGAACGTATAAATCCGGTTACAAAACAATGTGTTACTTTGCTATCCCCCAACGGTGCTCATCACGTGACGAGACACCCGAATCAGCGCAGTGCTCAAGGTTTTCAAACTCTCCCACTGAATTACCACAAAACTGCAAGACTAGGTTCGGAAAATCGAAAGAGTTCTGCCAATACATGTCTGATGGGTGGACTATTTGTGCTTTATCCGCAGCTTTTCATCTCGGAGTGAACACCGTACTTTGCCCCTTCGGGGTGATCTCTTTAGGGAGAGCATTCACCAGTGAAATACTTTGTGGGGACATGTTGGTATTAGCCTTCTCTTACTGTGGGTCCATCTTTGAAGGTTGGTGGGCAAGTACAAATTACAGTTTTTGAGGGATTCATTTCAGATTTGTTTATGCCGTAAGATCGTTTGCACTTCACAGCGATAAACGTGGCATTTTTCAGAGCCATGTCACATTGCTGAAATCACACTCAGCTAATTGTACAACAACAAGAGCTATGTCTAATGACCTTCACACTCTACCGAGGAAAGCCTCACATGTGAAGTAGTCCACTCGATAGCTTTGCATCTTCTGCTGCCGGAATCGACGTTTGCTGAATCAAACTTTATCCCGCGCTTGACCAGAAACCCTTACTGACCATATATATGTATATACATTTGTATATAATTTTACTTAAGCAAAGCTGATTTGAACGCTTACTTTGTCAAAGCTTGTGCTTGACTTATTCTATCGTGGGGTTGGTTTTTTCAAGAACTTGGTCAGGCCTCACTCCACGTCTTGCTATTCTTTGAAGAGCTACTTCTCAAGTGCGGAACAATTTAAAATATTCTTTACTACTCACAAAGTAGGTGTTCACATGTCATTTTTGTTTATTTTCCACCCTATACAGTGGTTCGGAAACTTGGTAACGCTGACCTGGTGGGATGACTTATGGCTGAACGAAGGATTTGCCAGCTTTGCGGATCGGTGCGGTGTTCACCACGTCCATCCCAAATGGGGCATGGTAAGTAATCCAGACCACGAAAACAGAGTTCTTGTGCCTCGAGTGTTGCAGACGCAACGCAATCAAAAAAAAACATCCAGCTTGCCGAAAAATAAATTGAGGTCACACGTGCATTATGTGTGGTTTGAAAGCAATCATCCATCGGAGCGTATCGACCGATTCGGGGTTGTCTACACAAATCAGCGAATGGTGAAAAACCGTTGTTGGAACCATCGCCAAAAACCACTCGGGGACTAATAGAGCTGGTTTGGGAACGTGTGTAATGAACACACTATATATTTTCTCACGTCGTTCAAGAGTGATGAATGAATACTTACGCACCTCGTGACAAAGAATCGAGAATCCAGAGTGGAATGAACTATGGGGAAGGTTCTTTAAAGAGACAGAAGAGGTCGAGTGTTCTAGGAAACCCGTTGTGTATAAATTGAGTGACCCTGGTTAAGAGAACCCGACAAGGTAAGCCGATTTCGCTTTTTAGAATAGTGGAGTAAAACACTAAAGACTGACGCATTATGCAGGCGACTGCTGGTCTCCAAAAACTGCATTCGAGCTTCATATCCATCTCACCGGTTGGTTGGTTCCTTACGCGGATACCACGAAGAATAAATATGATTGCGATTGGGGGTTCGGTCTTAGATGTAGACAAATATTGGAATACCAGTTCCAGCTTGCATTTTATTGTCTGAAATACAACAGCAATACCACTCATGTTCGTTGGTCTTCCTATTCACAACAAAACAGAAGTATTCCCGTATTGAGTACCTGTTTGAAAATGCGTGTTTTACGGATTGCATGCTTGATTTCACGCGTGAATTTTTCGGAAATCATTATTTTCAGTGCTGTTAGGGTATAAATATCTGGTTTCAATGGTGCATCAACCCGATTTTTCATTAAATCTGAGCTGCGCTAGAAGTGAGCCGTATTCACAGCTTCAAACAATAATGCGCCATTTGGTTTTCACGAGAGACTCAAATTAATCTTTCGTTTATGATATTCCACAACTGAACGTGCTGCATTCAGGCCGCCTCATGTTTCAGTAGGCACGATATTCGTGATATCGCAGTATATTTTCATACGGGAAACTACTCACAAGGTTGCTGAAAACTCTTCGACAGCCCACGACCGGTTTCGCCCTTCCACTCCGGGCTCATCAGGTAGGTAGGCGCAGTCCCCGAGTTTCCGTCAACCTTATGTTTCACTTCAACCCAAATTGGATTGATTTCTGTAAATACCAAATTGGTGTGCAAATGAATGTATTTCTCGAAAACAGTCCAATTTGGGTTCAAGTAAAACATAAGGTTGACGGAAACTCGGGGACTGCGCCTACCTACCTGATGAGCCCGGAGTGGAAGGGCGAAACCGGTCGTGGGCTGTCGAAGAGTTTTCAGCAACCTTGTGAGTAGTTTCCTTCATAAAAATAACGCGCCATGTTAACAAGTTCGAGGTTTTCAGTTGCGACTACTGTACTCCAGTATGATAAGGCGAAAATTCCTTTTGATCAATCAAAGAAGGGTAAAAAGGACAGATAATGTATGTCTCAGGTGACTGAGAACGTTTCAAATTTTCAACCCGAACCAACAAGAGACGAATTCAACCTCCTCAAAGAGTGTATTTTTGTGACTCCTACTAACCTGAGGTTGAGGAGGGTTAATTTTAACTTGAGTTTCAAATATGCACCCCACACAAGAGTCATTTCACATAAGATTGGAGAACTGGAGAACAGTGGACGAACAACTCACCACACCGAACTCCACTGTATGATGACTCAATTGAACGAAGCGCCTTGATGCGGGCAACTCAGCCGATGAAATCCTGGATGCCACGCCTCCACAAATTCAAGATACACATCCTGAAATTAGCTAAAGATGTTGATTGGTCGGATGGAGAGGATGAATGTAGCGCAGAAGGAAATTAGTCTGAAAATGAGTGTACCTCACGATTTTGTAATTTAGTTGCTTCAGTCTTGACTCAATTATCAACGGTATCTGCAGTGTCTGAATCATCTCAACATTTAACGTGATTTTCCGAAATTCGAGCACTTGAATGGTACTGGTTGTAACTGTGAAACCTCGCAACTTCAGCCGGACGGCTAGCATTACTCCGTGAATCCTGCTTGATTACTTCACGCCGACACGCCGGGATCAACCGGGTGAAATCATTGATCTGAAGCTATTTTTATTGACCTCATATTGACAGCCATGTCAAAACACTCATCAAATCTTACCACCAGTGTGCATTGGCTTCAAAGTCTCCTAGAAAATGTGAACTCCATTCCTGACCAGTACCACAAAATGTATCGTCAACGAAACATGTGAACTATGTAGGTCCCGTGAGCGGTCAAAGTTTTCTCATTATCGTGGTCGCTTACAGCAAGTGGCCAGAAGTTTTCCCATGAAGGCAACAAAGACCACAGCAACCATTAAAATGTTGCAGGAAGTCTTCAATCGTTTTGGCTATCCTGAGAAGCTCGTATCTGAAAACGGGACACGGATCACGTTGTTCCAATTCGCGGACTGCTGTCTTGCCAGGGGGACTGAACACGTTAGACCGCCCCCATATCATCCACAATCAAACGGCATGGCAGAACGACTCGTGGATACTTTCAAAAGAGATTTGCTTCAGGAGGAAGGGGAAGGAACCACGGGAAACATCCTACAACAATTCCTCTTAATGTACCGCCTGACTCCAAATCCTTCCACATTGGAGGGCAAATCGCCTGCAGAGACACTACTCTACCGACCTCCTTGAGGCACCCTTGATCTTCTAAAGCCTCCAAAGGAGGAGGTGGTATTATCAAATCAGAAGGTGGAGCCCTAGTATAATCGCAAGCATGATGCAAAGTGGTGACATTTTGACATCAGACAGAGCATGCTAGTAAAAGACTGTCGTGGTAATTGCGTACCCTGGCCTCAAGGCAAAATCTATAATTTTCGCGTGGGTTCCGAAACGTGGGTTGATCATGCAAAAGAAGCTCATTCACAACCCACCCAGAAATGGAATACGTTGCCTCCGAACATTTTGTTAGAACACCTTGACATGAACAGAGGAAGGACAATCAGCGCTCAGGTTGCGGAGCAGCTGCCAGAAGCGCCTGTGTATCAACAATCATTAAGGACCACACGCAGAAGAATGCCAATGAAAAGGACTCAAGTTGACCCGAGACAGAAGACTTATACCACTGAAGTTCAAAGGGAAGATATTAGGAGGACCAGTTCCGAACGTAACGGGACTACATAACTGCCAATGGAATAGCCGTTTTTCGTTGAGACAGATTTCATTGGTTGTTCTTCACTCGCCCTTGACAGATGAGTTGTATTTATAGTATCACTTTTTTGACCCGCTTGTACGCGACAACGACCAATAGAGCAGCTGGTTCACGCGCACCAGGCGATCGAGCGGCTATCCAGACCGGGATTCACGATAATCAGAAGGCATTAAGGGACTGTGGTCCCCATCATCCATCGTGAGGCTCATCGGGTAGGCAACCCATCGAACTTCTATCCATCGTATGTCCTACTTAAAAATTAGGTTCTAATCAAGTGAGAACCACTCATTTACAAATCAAGTGAATCTTAACAGGGAACTCAACTGAATAAACTTTCTACGGTGTTTTTCGGAAAGTGCTGTTTCTTGGTCATCGATCCTCGCGCGCGGCACAGAATTATCTGCGCATCATTTGCTTGGAATCTAAGTGAACATTGTTTAAGCTGCATTTGCGATGAGATCTTGAGGTCCTTGACTACATCCGTGCCTTTCGGAGTACCATTGTAACGGTGATACTACTGATGGGGAGGCACGCGAGTAGTATGTGTTGTTCGTAGAATTTCGCTTTGCGTCTTTTGAAGAGGGGAGATCTGTTGCGGAATTCGTGGATTCACTTTGTAACGTCTGCTTGGATTGGGCCGAGGAATGAGTGAAGTCAATGAATCTCCAGGAAAGTTGAAGAAAACGCGTTCGGGAGAAGATGGGTGTCCAGTTTCAGTAAAATTAGATGCAAATTAGAGTTTTGCTTCCCTGTCAGTTGGCATTTCCTAATAGATAACTCCGCAGCGAAGGCCTTCTTCCTTTCACCATCACACACTTGTGTGAAACATCTGACAAAATTCCAGACCAATACCTTGGCAATTTTTCGTTCTCCTTCGAGGACCGAACGCCAGTCACCCGGAGCTTCCTGGATATCCACGAGCGCCCTAAATGAGTCAACAGCCGGTAGCACATAGCATCACATTGAGCTGAACAAACTGACTGGTGGATGCGGGAATCCAAGGTTAACCGGTCCTATCACCATAAGCCCAGTTGATGGGTCTCGTTAAAGTGGAGAACAGTCACCTGTCTAAGCTTCTCGCGACCTGGCCACATATTAACCATATTAGGAAAACGTTTTCATTGTCGCATCAGCGATCGATAGCCAGCTAGTCG